TTTTTTCCCCCCCCCCCGCCTCCGAAATCAAAAGAATGTCCCTAACCCCCCCGCCCGGGGCCCCCAAAGGCCATGGGAAAAAAGAATTTTGGGGGGGGGGGCTTCAAGAGATCTTCCCCCCCGTTCTTTCCTCGTTCCCCCGTTCCCCGGCGCGCGCACTTCCCCGCGGCGCGCGCCAGCAGCGACGGCTGCCATGGCGACCGGCAGGTGAGCGGCAGAGCATCGCGTGGTCCCTACCTCACCCGCGCGGAAGGAGAGAGGAGGCGGTTGACAAGGCGACGTGGGTAGGAGGAGACGAGGAAGGAGGGAGGAGGAAGGATGGGCGGCTTTGGCGTGGTGGCCTGGAGGTGACTGAAGTGAGCCCAGCCCCTTGCATCCTCCCCCTAGGAACCTCCCTCCCCCTTTTTCCGCCTTCTGCCAGCGGGAGCAGCAGCCGCAGCACCTGAGTCGCGGCCGCCGCCAGCTCAGGACAACGCTATGGCTGATGCTGGGCGCAGCCTCCATCCCTCAGCCAGAGGCAGGGAGAGGAACGGAGCGGCGCACGCTCCGGCTCCTGCGGCTGCTGCTCTGGGTCGGGACCGCCTTCCAGGTGATCCAGGGAGCGGAACGGGAGCTTCACGCCTGCAAAGAGGTACTGTCCTCCCGGAACCGACCCCACTTTGCTCAGAAAAATCTTGGATCCTGGTGGAGACCTTGGGGACCTAAGCACAGGCAGTTTCAGAGGCCGCGGAGTTTAGTTTTGGGGGGATGAAGATGGGCAGGGGGAGGGAGAGGAGCAGGCCGGCTCATGGAGAGGCCAGCCCACTGGGGGGCTCACAGTCCGGGCAGGGAGCTCGGGGAGGAAGGTCCACCATCTGGGACTGGGCTCCTGGACTCCGGACTCCGGGGAGAAGACATGAGCTGTTTTCCAGCTGGGGTGAATGACCTTAAAAGTGGTTGAGAACAAAAGCTGATGTATGTGCAGAGGGGCGAAATAGAAAGTGGGCGAGGGGAGAAGCGGGGTGGGGAAGAAGTTAGGAAGGCCACAGGAGAGGAGCGGATGGGAGTCCTTGTGCCTTTATCTGGCTTCAGAAGGAGTGTGAAAGCAGGAGACGTAGGAGAGGCACTGAAAGGTCTCGCCCCTTCTCCCCCCTCCTATCCAACACCCAGTCACCTTGCTGGCTGCTGAAGGTAGAGCCTCTTTGTGGCTTTGCTTCCCCCTGCACTTGGCTTAGTGTTCCCGAAGGCACATGGCCCGCCTGTGGCCAGACTGACTTCTGTGACATCTCACTTTCCGCTAATCCCGACTATCCTTCTCTGACTCACTGACATAGGTCATACGTCTTTTTCAAGGTGCTTCCAAAATGTTGTCAACATAATTCAGACGATAGGTAGTGAATGCCTTTCAGCCAAAAGTGCCTTTTGAACATTCTTTTTGGAGAGGTACAAAAAGGTATATTGGAGTAACAAAACTCAGTCGTTTCTATAATATTGAAATAACAATATTTGGTTGTGCTCTGAGTAACGTGTGTTTTTTTTAACCATATGGCAGAGGCAGCAAGAAATATAAGAACTGCATTGGGGAAGGCAAAACAAAAGTTGTCCTTTAGTTTCTGAGAAATGTGAAAGACTTCATAATATATCTATGCAAAAATAATCCAAAATGTCATACGTGGCTAAGGTTTTGAGAAGTTGAAATGTTATTGTTGTTCCACTTATTTATGCATTTATTGGTTGTGTCTTGTATATGCCGAGTGGGGATCAAACCCCGATACCTTGGCATATTAGGAAGAGAAGTTGAAATACTTCTTTTAAAGTTATCAGTATTAATTGGTTAGCAACCACAACCCCACCCCATATGGAAATATATTATTATGGTGTTCTAACCATAGACTGTCTACAACATAACACATCGTGAAGAAGTAGGGAGGGAGAGAGGAGAGAATTTTTGTGTGAGTGGAGATATTTGACTTCATTCATGAATACGACACAAGTTTGCAAAATGTTTACCAATCCCAGTGACTACCAGCCCTGGGCCATCCCATATACAATCCATTTCCACCCAACCACTTTCTCTCCTGTTTAAGATGGAGCTGGGAACAGCATGATTTTGTTAGTGACTGTGGCTTACTAGCCTTGGTGGCTTATAGTCTTGAGCCAACTAAGTTAAACAGTTCCAACAAGCCCACTTGCCTAAGAATCCAACATGGGAGTCTCTTGAGTGGAAGGTAAGAATCTTACAGTTCAACTGCCACTGCTTGTTGAGATCCTTGTCAACTGTACAAATTGCAGACATTTAAGAGATTTAACATTTTGTATCATTTCGGTTTGGAGGCAGGGACGAATATTGATGCTTGAGAACTCTAACTGGGTTACACATTTTGCCTTTAGTCCTTTTGAATGACTGCCATTTGCCTAAGTGAAAGATCTTGCCACCGCAAGTGAGCTTAGGGCAAAGCTGTGGGACTCAACATTTCAGCGCTCCAGTCCCTGCCTGTGACTTCCCACCCAGCATTTGGATCTGTAGAATGGGCATTTCAGTAACACCCACCTCAAAAAGGATTGCTTTGAGGACTGAAAGGAAAATACAAATAAAGCACAAATTAGAGTTACCTAACCCCCTTTCCCAGTCGGCTTCTTTACCATTCGATCCACACCCCAGGCCACAGTGAAAGTGGCTCAGGGCTCATGCTCATTGGTCACGGGAGTCAGCAGGTCCTGTTTGCACTCCTTGAGCAAACAGTGGCGGCAGAACACCCTCCACTCCAAATCAATAAGGAAGCGGATAAACTCATTATCATAACAGTCTTCGCTTGGCAATATGAACTGACCCAACTAGTTTCGGGGCTTCCAACCCTAAATGGTGAAAAACCAATTCAGGGTAGACTAGCCCTTCTCTGTGCTGTATCTGCATATGAATTTTGTGAGTCTGTGTTGGGACTCTTATCAGGCCAAGGCTGACCCTCATGATAACAGTGCTGCTCAGCCTTGTTTCTGAAACCTGATGCATCACTCTGGATCTCGTCAGGGAACAGAGAGGTTTGGCTTGCAGCCTAAATGCTTTTTTTACTCCTTAAACCGGGGAGTTCTAGATTTCTAACCCTGAGCTGGGGCTTGGCATTCTTTTCACAGTTTTCCAATCATCAGGGTCACCAGTGGAACTAAACCTCCTGAATGGAATTTGTCTTCACGAATCATTTCTTCAGTCCTGTGCTAGCCTGGGCTAGGTGCTGACTGAGAGCCCAAGGACCGACCATTTCCTATAGCACGATGAACCCAAATCAAATTCGAGAGAAGCAGAACACGGCCTTTAACACATCTGCCTGGTCCTGAGGCTCCAGTGCTAACTGCCCCCAAACGGCCTTTCCAATCTACCCGGAAAAGCCCGGAGGGCTGAGGAATCTGGCAGACGTAGATTGGAATAAAATTGGTGGAAGAGAGTGACCCCACTTAGTAAGGATGCTAGGGGAGAAAGATAATTAAACTTCTGACAGCCTCATAACACAAATCTGAAAAATGGGGATGGATACACCTATCTCAGAGGGTGGTGAGAGGTTAAAATAGATAACATGAAAGCGCCTAGCACATAGTCGTGACATGTCA